AAGTCAAGTTTCAATAAACTGTGATTAGCTTTCATTGAAAAATTCCCTGGAAATATATATTTTGATAAGGTAACATAACAACATATTTATGTATATATCTATTTACTTCATTTTATATCAATTTATACTTTCCTTACACCCTTGAGTATTGGAAAACTTACTTGTTTCTCGGTTAATATCACAAATTTTTTGTACTTGGCAATCAATTCTTGCAAAACAGTGAATATCTAAAGGAGGGAAAAGGACAATGTACTGTAGGTATGATGTCATCAGGCAAATGCCATAACTTATATATTTATATCAGACATTGTGGCACAAGTATACAGTGGTGGCTATTGCATGTTGAAATGTTTATTGTTATTTTGGTGCCATTGGGATGTGTGCAAACTCCACTGTGCATAATTATGAGCAGAAGGAGGAAAAGATGAGAACAAGAGAGAGTGACATCTTCATATGTTGTTTCTGAGTGATGCAGAAGTATGTGGTGAATTGCAGTTAGAAACAGAATCACAGAACAGATAACATTCAATCTGATGTATTATTTCTTAAATATACTTCTGTATAGTGAAACTCTGCAAGCAATGCATACTTTGTGTTTAATGGGATTTACTGCCAGTTAGATAGCAATCAGAATAATTAACGTTGGCTAGGTTCACTCATTCATTGTATCCATGATTTAACCATAGCTTATTGAACAAGTCATTGAATCTGATTAGCACATAATGATAAAACAATCCATTCTTTTTAAATTCAGCATTTTATTGCCTCTCTTTGGCATGTTAAAGTTTAGTCTTTTCTTCACATTATAATACTGGCACCACTTTATGCCTTCTGAATCTGACTTTGCTTAAAGTTAAGAGTTGGAATACTGTGAGGGGGATCTAGGTGTCTTAGCGGGCCACCACTTACAGTAAATATGAGCCAGCAATGTGCTGCAGCTGCCAAAAAAGCCAATGAAGTCCTAGGCCAGTGGTGGCGAACCTATGGCACAGGTACCAGAGGCGGCACTCACAGCCCTCTCTGTGGGCACGCACGCCGTCGCCCCAGTCCTAGGCCTTCAGCTGGGTTTTATAAAACCTTTTCGCTTTAGGCCTCCGCCGTAAACAAAAAAAAAAAAGGTTCAATCAATCAGTCAATTTCAACTTCTCGTGGAAAAAAAAATCTTGCAAAGTTGGAATTGAACTTTTTAGTCCCACCCAGTCTGCCGTTTCCACCGCAGCCACGCCCAGCCAATGGGCCACACCCAGCCAATGGGCCACATCCACCCGGCACCCGATGATACCTAAGTGGGTTTTGGGTTGCAGTTTGGGCACTCGGTCTCTAAAAGGTTCGCCATCACTGTCCTAGGCTGCATCAACAAGGATAGTGTCAAGATAACTAGAAGCGATAGTATTGCTTTACACTGTGCTGGAGAGATCACCTTTGGAATACTGTGTCCAGTTCTGGTCACAAAGATACAAAAAACATGCTGAGATCCTGGAAAGTGCGCAAAGAAGAGCAACAAAGATGATAAAGGATCGGAAGATTAAATCGTATGATGAACAGTTGAAGGAATTAGATATATTTAGCCTATCAAAGAGAAGGATTGGGGGGAACATGATAGCTATTTTTGAGTACTTAAGGGGCTGACACAAAGAAGAGGGGATTGACTTATTCTGGAAGGCATCAGAGGGCAGAACAAGAAGTAATGGGTGGAAGCTTGTTAAAGAGAGATCTAATCTGGAAGTAAGAAGACATTTTCTGACTGATAGCTTGCTTCCTGAGGTCGTGGGTACTCCATCACTGGAGATTTTCAAAAATAGACTGGACCACCATTTGACTGGCATAAAGTTCCTGCCTTGAGCAGGGGGTTGATCACTTCCAGCCCTATGATTCTATGATGATTTTATATTTGTTAATTAATGGGACTCTGGATTTTTTGTTGACGCCTGGATTGGAGAAGATGTCATTTATGGATTTGCCTGTAGTTAAGAGTTGAATTTTGGAATCCTATGTTTTTTATGTTAATTAAGAGGAGATGAGAAATAGTAAAACTGTTTATACTTGTGATGAGAGGGGGAAGTTGCTTTCTTAGAAGGGGTTCTATTTTTCTTTCTTTTTTATTTTCTTACACCTTTTATTCTACTTTTTTGGTTTTTTTAGTTTTTAAAAAAGACTATTTTTTTTAGTATTTAATATTATTGTTACAACTATTAATATTTTTTTTTAAAAAAGGGTAGTGACAGAGAAGCATAAAAGCCTGTTTTCAGTGCTTTATATGGTATAAAATCTTGGGTTTTTTCAGTCCTCCATAACAGCAGGCTCTTAGAAAAATAAATCATAAATCATTGGTAATCATTGATTTTTATTTAGCAGTACAGTTTACCCTCCTGAAAGAACGACAGTGTTATTGTGCAATTTCAAATGTGTAAAATGTCAAGCTTGTTTGCCACCCTAAGTGTTCAAAGCTGAAATCTCTTCTTTAACCTGTTTTATTTGAAGTGCTTGTTCAGCTGGTGGGCACCTAGCTGGTTGGGAAACTGCTCCCCTCAGCTTGAGATGCCAACTTATAAGGAGATACTTAACAGAACAGAGGAGGCAGAGTTAGCTGTTATTTAAGCTGTTACCATTACAAGTTGCACTACACAACTGGAGCACCATCTGCAGTTCCTCACGAGAATCATATTTTCTCCCATTTTATAAATGCAAATAGTAAATCATCAAAACATCAAAGATAACAAGGAACAAAATCAATATATTTTTAGAATACAAACATTAACATGGGAATACATATATAGGTAGTCTTCAACTTGCAATTGCAATTGAGCCTAAAATTTCCATTGCAAAGCCAGGCAGTTGTTAAGTGAATTTTAAGTTTTTTGCTACAGTTGTTAAGTGAATCACTGCAGTTGTTAAGTGAAGCATGCAGTTGTTAAGCAAAATTAGCTTCCTCCATTGATGTTGCTTGTTGGAAGACAGCTAGGAAGGTTACAAATGGTGATCATGTGACCCCAGGCAGAGCAAATATCATAAACGTATGCCAGTTGCCAGGTGCCCAAATTTTGATCATGTGACCATGCAGATGCTGCAACAGTCATAAGTGAGAACTGGTATACAGTAAGTCATTTTTTTCAATGCCACTATTAACTTCAAATGGTCATTAAACAAATAGTTGTAAGTGAAGGATTACCTGTATTTTTCTTTTTTTCTCTTAATCATTTTCATGGCAATTTTTTATTTTTATTTAGTTTTTAAAAATAATTAGGTGAAAATGATACCTGGAGAAAAGCACACACAAACCTTTCTGTAATTAACAATTACATCAGTGACTTTTTCAAATTACAAGCACCACCCTTGTCTCACATTTGAGACTGGGGGAATGGGAGTTTTAACTGTAGTAACCAACCTAGATTGGAGGACGGAATGCTTGCTTTTTGCACTGAGGAAAGGGAGGTAAATAGGATCATACCGAAGTTTTTTCCTATTGCAAATAGGAAGTGATCACAAATGAAGCAGAACCTTTCTCGGGACTTTTCTATGACTCTGAAAACAGTCAAAAAAAATTTTTGGCGACCAACATTTCCTCTAATGCATTATTTCAAATAGCTAAAGCAGAACACACGAGCAAATGTTTATTGTGTTTACTTTTAGACTAAGATTAGACTAAGATTATCTAAAGCCCACTTGTGGGATAATATAATCACTTGCAGTTGCAGTTCTGAATGCAGGTAGAGATTGTCCTCCTTTGTATAATATGCCATGGCAGAATTTCAAGGAATGTTTGAAAAACTTTGGGCTTAGTTCAGAACAAGCTTGGTGCTCTTTGCTTTCGTTCTTCCCACCAGAAGGCAAGACTAACAGATTATAGACAGTCCTCTTCAGAGTTTGGAGGGTGGTGGTAGTTGATGGGCATTTTTTCAATTTTATGATCATGTCATCACAAAAATCAACCATTTATAAATTTGGTAGAGTACCTCTATGCCAATTCCCCAAAGTTTCCAGAATATTTCCTATATTTATGCTGGTCTTTGGCCATAATGAAGATTTGGTTTATTCCCTGTACCTCTTTTACCTTATTTTTTTCTCAACTGGTAGTTTTTCCTCACACATTAGATTTTCTAAAAATGGCTCTTGGAAGTTAAGATGATGCTAAAGATTACAGTAGTACTTTCATTTATTCTTGAGTTGACCTTTTAAATCACTCAAAAACCACAACTCTAGTATATAATTCAATTGAAAACACACGCATACATGCCTTATGCTTATAAAACATTTTTAAAAACATACAAAACTGTAATGATCAAGTGCAGTGAATTGCATGGTGGTCATCATCTGCAGTCAACAATAGCAATAAATACAGAATTTAAACTGTCATAATAGACCAATTTTTTTTTCAAGGGCTCACACTTTAGGAATCATAAATATAGTGTATGCAGTTCATTAAACAACAAACGCAGTTGAGGAACATCAGCACCCTCCCAGGGTCAGGAAGAAACAAAAAAAAATCAGCATTCTAAGAAAATCTTCAAACTCTGCAAAACTGCAAATGATATTTAAAGAGGGAGCAATCCTCCTTCGAAGTAACCCCATGAACACAGAGTACGCTCAACTGAGCAGGGGAAACGAAAGCGAGATTAAACTACTGTACAGCATGCTGGAAAAAAGGCCTGGCTGCCTAACAACTTGGCTGGGGGACACTCCACGCTGTAACATTTAGTTATAACCCTCCCTTGTTGATTTGCACTTTGTCTCTCTGCTCTTTGCCTTAAGGTTGTGAGTAAGCAGGGTGGAATGCACACAGAAGAGTTAACGAGGAAGATCCTCAATGCCACACTTCCTGCTGCTCTCCATTTCTCGTCCTGCCAGAAACAGGAACTAAGAGGAGGAGTCCTAGGCGAGGCGTTTGCCTGCCTGTTGACCGGGGCTGGGCATGCAACAGGCGGGAGTACAACCTGTTTAACACACCCCTGGGTTCGTGGGCTGCGCCTCTGGCCTCTTTCTCCCTTCATTTTAGTGTGGAAGAAAGGGAAAAGGAGGCTCCGGAGGAAAGACTTCGGATTCCGCAGGCGGTTTGCTCGCACGTTCGTCTCCTGGGCGAAGCGACCCAACGTCCAGATCCGACGTGTCAGCAGAAACGCCTGGCCATCGCTTTCGCAGCTGAGCAAGCTTACGTGATTCCCGATCGCCTCTCCAGCGCCAGGCAATGCCCGCCGTCGACAGACTTCGCCTAGAAGACGCTCTGCAAGATAGTCCGCAGGTATCGGATTCCGGAGGAGGCTTGAGTGCACCTGATCTGCGGTTTGGGAAGGGATGGCGCAACAGATTCCGTGCAAAAGCTACCTGCTGTCCGGGCGAGGGACAAGGCCGGGGGGCGGAGTGGGGTAGAAAGAGAAAAAGGTTGAGGTCAATGATCGGGAAGAGGTGATTTAGCCGAGCCTGTCTTTATGGATAGAGTTTATGGTCGCATCAAAGCAAATCTGAGACTGCATTTATCGTTTCACAACAAGCATAGGAAAATTACGTTCTGCAAAGATTGCAGTCTTCATAACTATTATTCAAATCATAACTATTATTCAAATCATATTGTCGCGCCTTCTTCCTTCTGTTCCATTTTCTTCTTTTTTATGGTACCAAGAGAATAACAATATTATTTAAACTGACCAAGTGCTATCACTAAAATATTCAAAGTTCTTTGGAGATCAGAGATGTACTTTGCATCACATAATGACAACCCAGTCTTTAGTATTTAAGGATCCTGATGTAATATATAAAAAAGAGCAGGGTTCTTAACAAACGTAATAAAAATAATGCTCACCCGGATACTGTACTGTGAAAACACACCTTCCACGCAGTTGCTGTTATGGTAATGTGTCTTTTCTCAGGTTACAACTTGGAAAGGAAGGGGAGCAGGGAAGGGTTAACAAGGACTGGAGGCAGTATACCCTGGAAATATTAATGAGTTTTTGGCTGGAGGAGGTGGAGACACGAAGTACTGCAGCTTTATTAGTGGTATTAGCTCCAATTTGACAAATCTAGGTCACTGTGAAGAAAAGGGAGGAATTTTGCAGAAAAGAAAAACAATAACTTTACCTGAAAGCAACTGGGGAAAAAAACAATGGTTTGGAATGATAGGGGGCGAATTGAGGTTAAATATTGAGACTCCACAATTAAAAATTATGCAGGACAGTTCAAAGTGGAAGGAGGAAATTGATTGTTCAAGGCTGGTGAATTTGGGGCCTTGGTAAATTCTTATGGTCAGTCAACTGCCTCTGTTAGCAAGGACCAAATGACTTTATTAACAAACAGCCCTATCCCTCTTCTGGTTTTGGATCTTTGTTAAGCGTTGCAAAAGAGTCTTTTGGTTTATTGACAAACAAAGCAATATAATGTGACTCATGCAAATGGATGCAGGTGCTTAAAGGGATGGTTCCTGATTATTATTTTGTGCCAAGGGGATTGGACAATAATGTGCATATAAAACAATTGCCACTATGGATGGGATTATTTTTTTTTAGAACCCCGTATTTCCACAGTTGCTGAAGTTCTGGGTTTTCATGCTTATTTATAATTTATAAAATGCACACGTTTCCTTGATTTGTAGATTTCTTAGATATAGTTGCTTTTAGTGAAGGTGTGTTCACAGAAGTAACTGGGAAATTGAGATAGTCCAGAAAAAATAATAAAGGCCTATCACATAATTGTGTCAATTATGTGAGAGATCCAAGATGTTATACTTTGGTCTAATCAGAAACTAATTTCAGTTTTTATTTTGGTCAATTTGCCAGTTTTCCAGTAACTGTAGTCCTCTGTGGATTACAAGAACTCCCATCATTCTCACTATGGCTTTGATAACTAACACTGAAAGGAGTTGCCATTGGACTGGTGGGAATCTGGAGGGGAAGGGATAGCACATGCATTTTAATGTTATTGTGCAAAAGAAGCAAATTACATTAATTGTGCAATAATATGCAAGCATCAATTGCACAGTGACATCCTTGGGGCTTGAATTTAACAGCTGTATTTGTATCCCATTTTATCCATTTTGTTCCACTGATACATGCTTGTACATTTCGTGTGTGTGTGTGTGTGTGTGTGTGTGTATAGAAAGAGAGAGAGAGAAAGAATGTGCAATCAATTATATATAAAAAATTATTTTTGCAAGGAATGCTATCTCATCCAGCATGTTGTCTTCCACATGTGTTGAATTATAATTTAGGTCACCCATGTTGATTAGGGATAATGGAGTTGTCCTTTATATTTGAACACTTTGGATGAATAAAAACTGAAGGGACTGTGGTGGGGATGGGGTATTAGGAACCACACTTAGAAAATCTTTTGTTTTAAAAATTTACATATTTTAATCATGCTTACTTTAGTTTGTAAGCTTCCATCAGGAAATATACTTTGAAAGTTATTCATTGTCAGTAATTATGCTGCTTAGGTGTTATATTGCCAAACAAAGCTTCTTATATCCAACTCTCCATGCTCCTTTCTCTTCAACAGCTGAAAGTCTTAAGTGTAAACACAGAAATGAGTCTTGGATTATATTCCCCATATTCTTAAAAAAAAATTGGCCAGAGGATAAATGATAGTATTTAGAGGGGACACCCAATTATCACATCCCAAAGACATCAATAAATACTAATGTCAAATAATTTTGTATATCTAACACATACCATCAGATCTCTTATTATGGGACTATTATCTTATGGAAATAGTTTGCTCCATAATAACGTGAGAGCTGTAATAGGATATTGTGTGGAATTCCCATTTTGAACAACAAAGATTTTCTAATCAATATTCCAAAATGTATTTTGTATTATGGCAGAATTTTTTATAGTTCTGAATTCATTTTGCTTCTTTGCTAAGAATATCCCATCATTCTAATTTGCCTGCTATTGTTTTGATTTTACCTGATAAGAAAACATTTTCTACTGTGGCTTTAAATAATTCCATTACAGAGACAATCAAGTTTGCAAAATGGGATTATAGGGATGTGGTAGGGGACCATTGATAGCTCTCTTTTGATCAGAAGAAAAACACCCGATTCCATATTTTAACAAGCATCTTTATTAGGCTAATTGCTGTGCAGCTTCTTCAGAGCTGTTCATCAGGCTAGATAGTAAACAAAGTCCTCCCACCTGCCTCCTAAGTGGCAAAATCTATAGAAATGGCTCTCATCAGAAATTAGGGCCTGCCAGGAACTCAGTACAATTCTTAAGATTTAGGGGATGAAGAATCAAACCATTTTTAAAGGTTATACCAGAACTGGTATTCCACACAGGGAACAATGGATTTTTAAACACTAACTATAACAAAAAATGAACATTCAAAATGAACAACAGTTAAAATTATATAAAAGCAATAATATCCATATATACACCATTATATATTTACAATCACAAGAAAAATAATATGTTTACTATCATTAAATGTATTTACTATCTAACTTACTGCCGTCCTCAGCATCTTCCTCACTTCTATCAATCATCTTACTTTATTAAATAAACAAGTGTTCAGATCCCTCTTAAATCATTTGTCCAATGAATAATGAAGAAGCTTCTCCTCAAAATATTTCCCCTTAGCCCAGGTTTCAGACATAGAATATGATCGAATCCTATATTTCCCCTTAGCCCAGGTTTCAGACATAGAATATGATTGAATCCTTCTTCCTCTAAGATATCCAAATACTTTCCCCCTCCCTGAAGTTGCCCTGTGTATTAACATAAACTCTGTGGCTTCGTGCTTTAATTTGTCAGTAATCATTTGGTAAATTCTACATGATTAGTCATAGTACATAATGGTTGTATGGATTTTCTCTGTTCTCCTGTTCTCTCTCTTTCTTTGTTGGCTCCTCTCTTAATAACTTCATTTGAAGCATTTCCTGAGATTCCTCCTTACAAATTACACAATCCTCCTCTAATCTGGTATCCTCAGGAGTTTAGATTAAAATTCCCTTTTTATCACCCTGTAATCTCCAAGTATTCTTTGTTTGTTTACCTTTGCCTCCATTCTACTTTCCCTTACTCTCTGGTTTCTCCTGCAGTGACCTGTTGATAGATAGAATTACCCTTTCATGCTCAGTAATGGGCTAATGCAAATAGGCATATGGAATATTAAGATATTTTAAATTATGTAAACCCAATGTAAGGTACGCACTGCCATGCATTTCTACAGCATAAATGAAAATAATATAAACATACATTTGGAAATAAAAACCATACTCCCCCCACACTTACAGTTCTCAGGAAAAAACTTTTCTAAGCCTAGATCTGTTTGGAAAAGAAATTCTTCATTTGAGATTAATAGAATGTCTGAGTGGCCCCTAAATCTCCCTTAGAGTTTTTTGTTTGAAGGGGTGACCCATATTAGACATCCAAAACTAAATAGGTTACCTGGTCACAACCTTCCCTGTTAACAATGAAATGTATTTAAGCATTTATTCCTAATCTGGTGTAAATATTTATTATCCCACAAACATCTAAAACAAGCTTGTGTCCTTTTTTGCACCTCTCCCTTTTATAAGTGACTGTGCAAGGGATTTTCCCCAATGCAAGCAGCACTTTCAAAACATTTATCCCAGTGTTTCTCAAACTTGGCTGCTTGAAGAAGTGTGGACTTCAAGTCCCAGAATTCCCCAGACAGCTCACATCATCAAGTGTCATTTTCAAATGGCCAAGGTTGAGAAACACTGATCTATCTGATGATGCCAGAAGTCAGGGTCATCTAATAAATAGAGGGAGTCTTTCGTAGATGGTGTGGTTTTACTATGGAATTTATTCCTTCACTATACAGGTAACATCTGCCAGATTTAATTCCACAAGAAAAGACTATGGGCGGTCACTAGTTCCAGTGGCTCTGTGTACAGTAATAACAATTGTTGGGTCCCTAAGCTTATGTCCCACTTCTGGATTTCTTGTCAACAACTTGGTGAACAGAACGCTGGATCACAGAATCTTTGGCAGATGGTATCTCTGTTGAATGATTTTTTATATATAATTAAGGTGTTGCTAATGGAAGAAAAAAGTGAGTGATACTTTTATTCAAGATTTCATTTATGTTTGTTTTTAAATGCTTCAGACCCGCTCCTTGTTGAGCGTATTTGAAGAAGATGCTGGAACACTCACGGAGTACACCAACCAGCTGCTTCAAGCAATGCAGCGAATCTATGGGGCACAGGTAAGTTAGTTTCCATGAAATACATTGGATTTTTTTTTCTTTCCTTTTCTAAGATGCATTTTTAATTTTTCTTGTACTTTCTCTTACAGTTCAGCTACTGTTAATACAGGTAGTCCTTGCCTTATAAAGTTCATTTAGTGACCATTGGAAGTTACAATGACACTGTAAAAAGTGACAGGACCATTTTTCACACTGCATTGCATGGTCATGTGATCAAAATTCAGACTCTTGGCAACTGACTCATATTTATGACATATTTATGACATTTGCAGTGTTCCAGGATCATGTGATCCCCTTTGTGACCTTCTGACAAGCAAAATCAACCAGGATGCCAATTCACTTATCAACCATGTTACTAACTTAAAAACTGCAGTGATTCACTTAACAACTGTGGCAAGAAATGTCATTAAATGGGGCAATATTCACTTAACAAATGTCTCACTTAGCAACAGAAATTTTGGGCTCAATTGTGGTTGTAAGTTGAGGACTACCTGTAGTTGAGTGTTGATCTGGGGAGGGTGGGAATAGGCCCAGAAATTTTGGACATCAATTTCCATCAGCCTACCCAACATAGCTGTTCGCAAGGAATTGTCAGTGTTGTAGACCAACATATTTTGAAGACATAAGTTGTGATTCCTAATCTATACATCATGTGATCTGGTCTTTAGAAACTTCATCTTCTGAGGTAAAAGAATACTTTTTGCTGTTATTGTTCATTGTATGGGAAAGAGATTTTATAGAAATAAAGGAGCCCTTTAAATTTTCATATCCTTTTCATTTTCTTTACCTTAGTCTGTGTATACAAAGGCCAACCCTTACTGTTTACATAGGAGTTCTTTAAATTATAACTGTGGATTGCACCACCACCCTTAAATGCCAGGTGGAATATCAGAAGCTCAGCATTTTATGGAGCACCTCTCCCCAACCTTGGATTTGCATCTTATGTCAAGATTATTTTCATCAGAAAAGCAATTTATTAACATAGTTTTAATTACTGCAGAGATGAGTGTTAGTGGTTTTGCCCAACATAATTTTCTTAACGATTATTTGAGAAAAGTTGTGAAGGCAATTGTTCTTTGTAAAGCATGTAACCTTTTTGTGATAGATTTCAGCTGCAGCATGAGGGCAGTTTTATTGGTCTTGCAATTTTGTGAAAAGTATAAAAAATTAGCTTTATTGAAATAATTGACATAAATGAAATGAAATTGCTGTGGCTTTAAAACAAAGGTGATTTTGGTGAAAACTTGTATATTGTTTTGTCTGTATGCTGCCCTCTTTTTTCTTCCTACATAACTGGGAAGATCTTTCCAGTGTATCCTCTCACTTTCTTCAATAGCAGGCTTGTCATGTATAAATCCTGATTGGTTACCATTTTCCAACTTAAAGATTCAAGATAGTTTCTTTAGAAAATGAGCAACATTTGTTTTAAATTATATTTAATTCAGGCATAATGACAATGTTAAAAAAGCAGCACTAAAATGTGACAGCAGTGGGTTTTTATTACCACAGTTTTATCTGTAATCTTTCCTCATTTGTGTGCTAAAAATTGCAACAGATAACTAATAATGAGCAGTGTGCTAAAGAGCACTGCAGATTTCTGTTTATTTAGGAAGCAGATTGCAGGAGATCCAGTAACGTATGGATTAATGTATTAATTTATTAATCTGCTTTTTGCGGGAGAGAAACTTAATACAGGAGCCTAAAGTCATTCAATCTGCATCCAATCCAGCTATATGCATCTAAGGAATAATTGTTGTATAGATTAGAAATAGAATAAATACCAACATCCCCCTTTGAGGTGAAGCCTGTGATTGTAATACAAAATTGGAGTCTTAGATAATACTTTTTTAAGTCTCAGCTATGCCTAGAGACTCACTGAGATTTGTTTCTTTGGTAAAGTTATAATCTGCTTTTTGATAAGGAGCCAAGGAGCTCCTCCCATTTTTTCACCACACCAATAAGTCAGGTTGGGCTAAGAGAGAATGACTGACCCAAAGTCTCCTATGGAGCTTCAGTGGCTGAAGGCAGACGTGACCCTGGGTCCAAATATTATCCAGTCCTGACTCTACATAGCTGGATAGAGTCTTCTTTAATAGTTGGCTTTAATGTGAATTCTGTTCTTTAATAGTATCCAATAAAAGACATTGCCTGAGCAACATCTTGGCCCAACTGGCCACTTTTTGCAATATAGCGAATCATTTAAAAGCCAAATCCAGTCCTTCTTTGGGAAAAGTTGTGTAGCCCTTTCATTGTAAATCTTTAAGTGTTTGCGTGCGTCAGTAATGAGACACATTCTCTCTTTATAGAATGAAATGTGCCTAGCAACACAACAGCTTTCCAAGCATCTTCTTGCATATGAAAAACAGGTATGTGCAGTACAGTCTTTTCCTGAGCAATTTCCACACTGGGAAGATGAAAAGTAGACATAGTTTAACCATCCACTAGTATTTTGCTTGATTATCTGCACAGATTACAAGGAGACTAACTTGCTCTGACATACTCTGGTGGCCAGAAGTGTGGCAGCTTCTAAGGCCTTGTTTTCTTCATTTGAAATGGCACATGGAATTGATTCTTAAAACTCAAACAACTGTGTCACTTGTGATCATTTCTCTATTCACAGTAGTGGTGAGGTACCTAAGATGTTTTCAGGGAGGGTAGAAAATGTTAGGATGATAACCAAAGCCACACAATAGAAGCTTTAAAATGGGTACAAACCTACCTATCTTGACTCTTTGCACGCTTTTTTAGATACCCTGGAAGGTATATCTGGCCCTCTGATGTTGAGAAAGATTTTGCTGGCATTTCTATCAGTGGGTCATATTGGTAGGAAACTTTAGAAATGTTAAAAAGCCTATATGTAAGTGAATCACACTGCTATTTTGCAGAAATTTGCAAAAAGTTAGTGTAGTGTAATTATAATCTATGATTAGGGGTAGAGTTTCTATCACTTTGGATTATAAATAACGAGAGGCAGGCTCTTTTTTTTCTCCCTGGCTCATAACTACCCTTAATCTTGCTGAGTAAAATACTTATTATTGGGCTAAACTTGAGCTGAGCCTTCTTAGACTTGTTCTCATTTCCTTCTCTGATTAAGTGCTGCCATTAATTCTTGTTAACTTGCAGAATTTTGCCTTGGGGAAAGGAGATGAAGAAATGATATCTACGCTTCAGTCCTTCTCAAAAATTGTGGATGAGGTAATCCAAATTATAACTTGATTTTCTCTCTTTCACTCTCCTGATTAGGACATAAGGATGTTAGAAAAAAAAGAGCAGTTAATGCTTGGTGTGGATCAGAAATGACTGCGGCTGATATAATGAAAAGGAGCCGTTCTGCTTTTTTATGAAGAGTCTTATGAAAGCCTTTAACACTTTTTAGTTCAGGATGGTGACATTGAGTGCAATAGGTTTACTATTATCACTGTTACTATTATTATTTACTAGTGCATAAAATACTCTGGAGGTTATTGCCATTTGAGAGTTTTTCTATTTGTACCCATTAGCATGTGAGAGGTGAGAATTAGTTCACGAAGATAGTGTTTACGAGGAAAACCTGAGCCTTAATAAATGTGTTAATCTGTAAAGTGCTTACTTTTTTGCAGTTTGCACTTAATATTCTCATCATTGCCCAAATACAGTAAAACCATTTCTGAGTTCTTACATTGTAAGGCAGGAATAAAACACTTGTAGCCTTCCAATTACTGTTGAACTTCAAAATCCCAGGAGCCTAAAATTCATAATCTAATGAATTTTCCCACTCATGTTCATAGACTTTTTGCCATCTCCTTGTCCTCAGATGTTCTAATATAATCCCTATACAATTTCTATTACAGTCCACAATTTTTCAGAGGCAGACAGGGAATTTTCGCATTTTCTAGCAAGTTGGTTTCTGCTATATCTTCCATTTTGGCTTGACCTCAAACAACTTCATTATTCCAAGCTTGTTTTCTTTTAGGGATTTCACACCCTTTTTCCATATGGTTTCCATTGTTTAATCACACTCAACCAAAATCCACAGTTCTGTGAACCATCACTAAAACAATAGTAACTTTTGTAGAGCATTAGCTGTTGCAACTTGTCTTAAACAGTCTTGAGATTTGCATTTGGGGAGAGAAGGGAGAATTCTTTAATCTCTCCATCATGTAGCTGACTTGGTTAAGCCTCAAAGAGTTGAGCCTGATTAGTACTTGATTGGGAGACCACTAGGAAATCCAATCTAGTGTAAGCTAGATTGAGAAAAAAAACATTCTGGAAAAACTATATGCATGTAACCAGGGAGATTTTACTGTTTTCCCGAGAGTTCCCTAATCTTACATTACTCACCAAGGTATAATATGCTGGAGAGAGAAAATTAATCTCTTTTAATATCTCAGTTCTATGTAAGAACTGAGATATTAATGCATACAAATACAGAAAGCACTATAGACAAAATTTATCAGCACTTCCAGAGAATTCAAGTACAAAATAGTTTTTGTTGAAGAGTCCATTATCCTGTCCATCTTTTTAACAGAATGCTTAACAGTGGTATCCTGGGGCTAAAATGTGGCTAGAGGTTTGTCAAATACATACTACTGGTAGGTCTTCAAAGAAAGTTTCTGTGTTCTTCCTCAGATGCTGTTCCTTTCCCACAGTGTAAACCATTTAGTGGTCCTTGTGTTTGTTAATGATGATGAATCATACCTTAAGTCTCCTTGTATTTATGTATCAACCCACACATGAAAATCAATAACTGTTTAAAAACCTCCCTTGGATATTACAGTGTTCTGCTAGAAAAAGAAAGAAAAACATAACAGCTATTTGTTTGGTTTGGATAAAAGAGCTACGTGGGCAAAGCAATACGATGTGCGAATGAAACTGAAGTTTGCAGAATCAATATAAACATTCAAGTTAATTTTGCTTCAGAGCCTCTCAAGTAAACTCTTCAGTCATTTGATAACATGGAAACTTTCTTGCTCAACCGAAGCTATATAGTGAGATATTATTTGTGACTTGAATCTTTGCATTTTGTAAAGTAAATCCCTTTGGAATTTTTGATGGAATAACCTTAGTGTTCAGCTTCATTCACTTTTAAGATAGGATTAGTTTTATCATTAGAGGCAATTCAGATAATACATGCAGGCATTCCCGATTTTGAACTTGGACACCATGTGGGAAAACTGCAGAGTGGGAGATTCTCTTGATCAGTCTTTACAAACTGCTGCCTTCTGAGTGTGTTAAGTTGTGCTTCCAATCATCCTTATGCTGGTTGGAGAAAAGTTGCACTACACAATTGGGAGCACCATCTACATTTCCTCATGAGAATCAAATTTTCCCCCGTTTTATACACACAAATAGTAAATCATCAAAATGATAACAAGGAACAAAATCAACACATATTTAGAATGCAAACATTAATATGGGAATACATATACAGGTAATCCTCGATTTACAACAATTGCTAAGTGAATCACTGCAGTTATTAAGTGAATCATGTGTTTGTTAAGTGAATGTGGCTTCCCCCATTGACTTTGCTTGTCAGAAGCTGTCTGGGAAGGTTACAAATGGTGATCACATGACCCCAGAACAATGCAACTGTCATAAATACATGCCAGTTGCCAAGTGCCCAAATTTTGATCATGTGACCAGGGGGATACTGCAGTGGTCGTAAGTGTGAAAGCCAGTCATAAGTCACTTTTTCCAGTGCCATTGTAACTTAGAATGGTCAGTAAATGAATGGTTGTAAGTCAAGGACTATTTGTAAATATAAACTGAAGAAGAGATGTATGAAATCATTTACATTTGAAAGCTCACTCCAGAAACTTTTTGCTATAGATGAAGATAATCTTCTGGGATCTACTTTATAAATATAACTTATTCTGTAAACCAAGCATGGATGAATTCTTAAGGAAGGTTTTAAGACTCTGGTTAATTTTTTTCCCCTTCTTTGCCCCCCCCCCTTCCCAATACTATTCATCAAAACAGATGCACTTTAAGTACTATTTTATTGATCAAAAGATGTTCCACAAAAAATACATCAGGCTGCTAACTTCTTATTGAGACTGATTTATTTTTGAAGGTTTCCTACAGTGAACAGGAGATAGGACTTGACAGCTAAAAAGGCATCTGTCTGTCAGTCATTTAGCCTCTGCAATTATAAAGGAGCTTAATAGTAATAAAGTTCAATATTTAACTGTTCTACATTAGAAAGTTGATAATTCCATATTAAGAGATTCAGAAATTAGAAGACATACTGTATGCATATGAGATCAAGAGATTGCTGAGATGTGAATACATACAAAATGATTTTGAAGATAAATATTCTTCTAATATACATAAATGTATTTTATATATATTAGGCAGGATTCCAATCTGGCTGTATAAAGAAATAATGCTGGTTTTCTTCAATCCAGTGTCAATTTTTTTCTTCCTTTCTCTAATTTCCTTTGCTTATATCAGCTTTATTATGATTATTATCTAGAGATGAAATTGAGGCTGAGTGATATTTGCAGGGTTGTAGTACCAAGATAGTATCATTGCTTTCCTGTTTTTCAGCTTAATGTTTTACACACTGAACTGGCAAAACAGCTTGCAGACACAATGGTTCTTCCTATCATCCAGTTTCGTGAGAAAGATCTCACAGGTAAATAATTGAAATGTTTCTTCCTGGTTGGGAATTTCCACAGGCTGTCTTCTCATGAGGTAGTCCTCATTTAAGGTCCATCATTTCAGTGACCATAAGTTATGAAAGTGCTGAACAAAGGGACTTACGGCTGGTCCTTGAAGCCCCAGATGGTCACATGAACAAAAATTGCTCCCACCCTCATTTACAACCCCCCTTTGGCCATCTGCCTACGTGTTGTTGCCAGCTGCCCCTACTGACCAACCCAATGCACGTGCCACAAATGCACCTTATTTGTGTCGGTCCAGTCAGGGTCTCTGTTGCAGTTGCATCCCATCGAGGGTCTGTGCTTATATTCTGCTCAGGGCTTCCATTTGAGCCACATCCGGGGCCTCTGTTCATTAAAGAAGGAGCAGTCTGGCATGCAAAAGAAAGTCGCAGTACCATAGAAGTCAGTGTAAAAGAAGACCCTGACTATTAGTGCAACGTGGAGTGGGTGTAGTGGCTGGCAGGGCTGGATGATGGGGCAGCTAGCAGCAATGGGTAGATGGGTTGCCCAAAGGGCAGAGATGAGAGAGACATAAATGGATGGGGTGAGTTGAAGTAGAGGCAGCCCTAATCTTGAGAAATGCTGTTGTTGCTAAATGGAGCATTTGTGTGCTATTTCATTTTAACAATCCTGTCACTTAGCGACAGAGTTGCCCGCACCAGATAGGGTAGTTAAGTGAGGACTATCTGCATATGGTGTCCCAGAGAGAATGTATGAATAGAAAATTAAAGGGAAGAAATAAGCTATTTTTTATTTAAGAAATCTCAAAAGATATAGGCAAGAATAATATATCAAATAATAACAATACTGAACACAGTCCAACTTACCATAACATTCCCCTACATATTTATTTTAAAATAAGATGGACAATCCTGGTGGGTGTGGTTACATTACAAAAACGGGGAAAAAATGAAGGGAATGAGATCTTGTCTACAGCCTTCAGGCTTTTACCCATCCTAGTCATTCCTAGTCAGCCAGATTCTCCTGCTGTATTGGCCAAAGGAGTTCTGGCCATTGGATTCAAAACAGAAATTGTGATAAAACAAAGATGCTACAAGAACAGCAGCTTTCTATCCCAAGTTTTCTTGGATTGATTAATAAAAACTATTTGGTATATAGAGATTTGTAAGTAAAGCAAATGGAAGAGTTCTATTTCTGTCCAGGATTTAATCCATATATCTGAAAAAAAATATGTAATACATATATTGTTGGTTTATCTTCTCTACTTCCTCCCTAGAAGTAAGCACTTTGAAGGATCTCTTCAGTCTTGCAAGCAATGGTATGTCTCACATTTTATCTTTGGTTTAATAGAATTCCCTGGTGCATGTGCAGCTTCAGTTGTGAGGCTCAAAGGTTGCCTTTTCTTTCAGAACATGACATCTCCATGGCCAGATACAGCAGGCTACCCAAAAAGAGAGAGAATGGAAAGGTATGTGTTTCCAGTTTTAGATTATTAAAAAAAAAAAAAAAAATTCTAGGCATGTAGAAAAATGCAAGTGAGCAGAAACCTGAATGTGACGCATCTATGTCATACAAATAAAAATGTGATGGAAAAGATTGCTTAAAATTTATGGTAGTGTTTGAATTATTTGGATGTGCCTTTCAAATGATGGGTGCAGTTCTCGAAATGAGAGTCCTGATTGTTAAAATATGCAGTATAGTCCAAGTGCTTTCAATAGACTTTGATGTGATGTTATCTGTTGTATGTTGCATTCTTCAGCCTCTGTTGAAAAAAATACTGTCTGCTGATATTTGTCTGAGTTTTACAAACATTTTATTGTTCAGCTAAAGGCTGAAGTTGTCAAAGAGGTCGCCAGTGCCCGAAGGAAACAACATCTGTCATCATTACAATATTACTGTGCCTTGAATGCTTTACAGTATCGTAAAAGAATTGCCATGATGGAGCCTATGCTGGGATACGCACGTTCACAGGTATGTAGCCGAAAGCAGCACCGTTTTGTAGCTAAGAAAGGAGCTGTGAATTATTTTATAGTACAGTGGAATATCTCATTTGCAAATGGTGTTTCATATGTCTGAGCATGATACAGCTCCTAATATTTCAGCCACTTTATAGTCAAAGCACCTGTGTTCCCTAATATTGTAAACCAAACCTCTGATCGTTTTCCTGAGTGAACTATAAAAATGTATAAATGATAGTCTACTCCTAAACTAAACAAATGTTGAATGTTTGTTAAATAAATTGTGTGCAGAAACTTCCATGACTTTTAACTGAAGTGAGGAATATTTGATGGTACAAGAGAGAATACTTGCAATGATTTCTTACACAGAGAGAGAGGGAGAGGGAGGGAGGGAGGGGGAGAGAGAGAGAGATTCAAGGTCATAGAAACTGAATTTCAAAGATTATTTTGCCTATAAACAGTGTTTCTCTTGGTGCCCACCTGGCTTATTCTTTTTAATCCTTTTATTTAAATTTTTCAAAGCTTCTAGGATTATATTTGTTCAAAATATCCTTGAATTCCACATTGCTCCATTGATATTCAGAAGAGTAAAAGTAAGCTGTAAATTAAGAGTGAATCTCCTGCCAAGGGTTGGGCATCTAGAAACTGTATAGGTTGTTTTGCAGTTGCACTAAATATACCCATGGTGACTATTTTATGAATAAGCAAGCCACCTTTTTTCTCTATGGATCCACAGAAAGCTCTCAAAATACAAAGAACATTCTCTCATCTCAAGGCTTCGAGATCCTTGGAGTGAGCCATTTGTTAATCAAAGTCTTCAGTAGTAGTATTCCAGCTTCCTTTTTATACTTTTCAGATTAATTTTCTGAAGAAAGGAGCAGAGATGTTTTCAAAAAAACTGGATGGCTTCTTAACATCGGTTACAAATATGGTGCAGAGGTAACATTATATTCCAGTTTACATTGCTTTGCAGTTTTGGGAGGGAGGAAAAACATTGCTTGTATTGTTCTTACCTACATGAGCAAGAAGGGAGAGGGAGAGAAAGGGAGATAGAATTGTCTTGATGTGAAAATACTGTCGAAGACCTGTTCAGCTGTGATTTATATTGAAATCCAACTGATAATTGGCCATGCTGGCTTGTGATAATAATACTTGTATTCCATACATCTGGAAGATGTTGGCATATAATTTATGCTGCCTAATCAGGGATCTTGAAAGTAATTGTGTTTTTTTTTCTCCCACGGTACACCTCTATATAGTTGCAGCAAGTTTAAAGACGGGAAATGGCACTAAAATAGTTTACCTAGAGCTAAGCTGCAACATAACATATCACAAAAGTGATTTCTAAAAAGTGTTGTCTGCATTTTACAGGGTACCTGATTTGGAGCTATGATCAGCCTAAAACTTTTATCATATAGGATATATATGAAATCATGCTGCCATTGGGATTCATAATTACTTGCAAATGCACATTTTTACATTGGTTTGTAGCTCTTAAGTGCTTATGAAAAACATATTTGTAAATAATCTTTAATGCCCAGCTGTATTAATAATTGCATACATAAAAGTTCATAAGAAGTAGCATGACGGTGAAGTGCTTTATTTTTATTTATGTATTACAGCATCCAAGAAGAATCAGATACTGAAGTTGAAGCAATGCGGGTATCTCAGCAAGATCTGCTTTCAGTTGGTGAATCAGTATATACGCCTGATTTTGATGCTTCTCCTGTCATCAACAAAAACCTTATCCAGAAAGCAGGCTACCTTAACCTTAGAAAGTAATGTGGAAGCTTAGTAATGTTTTATTTATCTTGGTCATTTCAGCTTTGGGGAGGGGGGATTATCAGTACTCCTACCTAATTTGGACCAATAAGAGTGCTAAAAATAAATGAAACATCATTTTTTACATTTACTTTGAATCTTAAAGGGTGATAAGATGCTTCTTGTACTATGGAAAAATGCACTAGTAATTAAAATGCCTAAGAATCCATATATGCATGTATGAGGGACTTTTTAAAGGTCGATACACAGTAGACTTCAACAAGGAGAGGAGCTGGGGAAAACAGCAACTACTACTTTTTTTTCCTGTACAGAACATTTAGCCTCTGCTTATAGAAACTTATTAATATCTAGATATCTTTTAGACATTGCAAATATCAATTCAATTTGTGGGATGCATCTAACGATGGCAAAAGTAACAGTCTCTACTTGTCCAGCCATATTTAGTAACTGTATAGGTAGGTTACTGATCTGGACATTTCAGACAATGAACCCTGACTCCCCAATGTAGCACTGTTATGAAATCCAGCACCTGAAAGTAAATAAAACTAGGATATAGTGATATAGCCATAACAAAATATAGTCTTAAAAATCCATGTGCTGAAGACAATCAGATGGGCTTGTTGGAATGAATTTGGCAAATATGTTCCAGTACTGTTTTTTAAAAACTTGAAATGGTCTATTTTTTTGCAGCAAAACAGGCCTTGTGACAACCACATGGGACAGGCTGTATTTCTTCACTCAGGGTGGAAACTTGATGTGTCAGCCCAGGGGTGCAGTAGCTGGTGGATTGATTCAAGATTTGGACAACTGCTCTGTAATGGCAATTGATTGTGAAGATCGACGTTACTGCTTTCAGATCACGACTCCGACTGGAAAACCGTATGTGGGTCAGGATTTCTGCTGGGCATCTGCTAGAAGGAAAGCTTTGTCATTCTTGGCGAGGCTGCATTAACTGAGCTGCTTTGTATACTTTATTTCCTCCACTTAATCTAAATCAAGTTTTTCTGGTTTATGTAGGAGTTACTGCAAAAATAGTTTTGGCAATATACATGGCTTTCCAGTTTATAGTCCAGCCAAGGGTCAGGGATTATAGCAATTTTTTTCAGTTACTTCCCCATATTATGGAATAACTTCTTGTGAGTTTAGTGCCCTCCCTGTTGAATGTAAGTCACCAGGAATAACATTTGGAACTTAGCAGTATAGAAATTTAAGAAGGTTACTGTTGTCAGATTCTAAGAAAGAACAATATAGGCACTGTATAATAATTAGGGCCATTATTATATTATTTCAGCAAATGAGAGCCAATTTGGTTACGGTGGTAAAGGCTCGAGCCTAGAAACTGAAGACTGAGTTCTAGTCCCTCCTTAGGCACAAAGCTAGCTGGGTAGCTTTGGCCAGTCATTCTCTCTCAGGCCTAGAACCAGAAGCGATTTAACAGGCAATGCTAAACCACTTCTGAAATCTTGCCAAGAAAACTCCAGGGATTTGTCCAGACAATTTACCAGGAGTCTTGAAGGCACACAAGCATATTTCAGCAAATACAAATAACCTTGTATCTATACATCAAGCACAAAATACAAAAATGGCTTTTTCTTTGCAATTGTTTCAAGGCCTAGCCATTAGGCCTTTGGTCTAGAATGTTTAATCAAAAACATTTTGATTGTTTTGATTTCTAAGGCCACAACATTAATATTTTGCAAATTCAAACTTTTGGATCTCAAATTGTATTACTGTGTTGTATTTTTCATTCATGCAGTCTTGAGCATGAATGATATGTATGTGATAATCCAGGGAAATAATACTAATGGCTGTGTATATATTTTTTTTAGAGGCATAACCCTCCAGGCAGAAAGCAAAAAGGAATATGAGGAGGTAAAACATTTCACTGTGAAGGGAAGATTTCAATTTGTTAGATAAAATCAATTCTACCAATTAAGAATTCAAGAATATCCAGGTGCCTTATTTTAAATATTTGCTTTGTTGTTACAGTGGATAAGTGCAATCAACAACATTTCACGACAGATCTATCTGACTGACAACCCAGAAGTGAGCAGGTTTTAAAAAATTTTTCAAATGTATTGCCTTATAAGATATGTTTACTTATGATTCTGTGTTTATGCAAGAACTTTAAACAGTATTACTCACGGATGCACCTTTGTTTTACTTCAGGCAGTTGCCATTAGGTTAAATCAGACAGCACTACAAGCTGTGACCCCAATCATGAGCTTTGAGAAGAAGCAAGCTGAGAAGAAGCAAGCTAGTCACTCTTCCAGGTACTTTCATATTTGCCTTGGGGTTTGTTCTTCCCCACTGAAAATAAAGCCTTCTTTTCCCTAACATGCAATTTTAGTGTAAGCATAGAATTCTGTCCTGGGGGAATATTTAATCCTGCATTTCCTGTTCTACTTATGAAGTGAAGAACTGTTCCACAACAGAGTAGATGGGTCATACAGTATATTTATCAGTCACATGCCAATGAATGAGCATTTGCTTAAAAGAGACTTTCTGCTTCTTCAGCTTATTCTTTCTCATTCATTCTTTGAAACTAGTAAAAGACATGAAAGATGATACTTTAGTTATTCTTAATGGATTTTTCCATTCATAATAATCCATCGTGCTTTTTGACTGCATGTTTCAAATGTCCCCCTTCTCTTCTCTTTCCCTTTAGCCAGGAGGGGAAGAACATGGATATTCTGAATGACCAGACAGTCCCTGAGGAATCTGCTGATGCTCTCATCCCCACCGAGTTAATTGCACCTGGAACTCCCATTCAGTTTGACATTGTGCTCCCTGCAACAGAGTTCCTAGATCAGCACAGGGGTGGAAGGTACAAGCTGCCAACAATCTTTCTTTTGACAAGGAGCTCTATTTTTTTTCTTTTTTTACTTTTCTCTTAGTATTGGAAAATGGTATTTTAGAAATGCTGTTTTGTTGCAGACGCACCAACCCTTTTGGAGAATCTGAAGATGGCGAGAAAGAGGATGAAGCAGGTAGATATGCCTAAGTACTGTTCATCACTCTTTGCTTTGGTTCCAAAGCCATCCAGATTAGTGTCCCACTTTCACAGAAAAAGCTATTTTGCCTGTGCTGTTAAGACTACCTGGTAGTCTGTTTATTGTCCTACTGTAAGCAAAAAACTGTTAAATGTGGGATGTGCAGAATAACGATTTCCTTTGGCTTAAAAAATGTATAAGCAAAACTCAACAAGGCTTCCGGTCTCTATAGGATGGAGACATGCAGTCTTTTCTAGGCTGATTTTAATTTTTGAAATTCTGTGGGCAGAATGAGGAAAGAGTCCAGTATCAATTAAGCATGTTGAGTGTGCCCATGGTGTACCACTCTCCACGGACATTTTTTAATTCAGTTTTTTCCCCCTTTCATACATTAGCTTTATTTATAATAATGGATGGAATGACTGAGGACACTTTTCACAGTTACCATTCTCATTGCACAATTTCTCAGTTATTAGAAGAGTTTAGCTGGTGACTAGAAGAGTGCAAAAATTAACTTGTAGCCCACCACCACCGTTCCTTACTGCTGCACTTTTTTCTGTGGTAGCTTGGAAAGGAAAAGTCTAGTTTCCATGAGGGTAAGCAGTAAACATTGGAGAAAGGATACCTTTAGTGCTAATATGGTTAAGAATCTGGGGGTGGAGAGGGGAGGAGTTTCCTACCAGGAGGAAGCTCTCAAGCTATACAAATATAATAAAGAAATGAATAAAGATAAGCTCCAGCATTTGTGCTCAAATTGCATTTGCATTGATTCCATATTTACAAAAGCCAGATTGCAAGGGTCTGCTAATTATTTCATACTTAGTTTATAACTAAGTATGTGAACTGCCCCACTGAAAGAGTGTTTATGAATGCACTCTCTGCATAGGAAGAGACAACCTGGAGTTTATATACATGTGCAAGCTTTAAAGTTAATCTTAAAAGCGCTTTGTAAATGATCGGACCAGACTTCTGGTCAAAGCAGTCTCTCTCTCCCAGTGTCTTGCTGGGTGAAGAAAGGGTGAGTAAGGAAATTCAGGAGGAAATACAGGTAGTCCTCTTTTAGCAACGGACTCATTTAGCATTCAAGATCACCGCAGATGGGGACTGCAGCCAAGAAATTAAAAGACCCTTGCTCCTGGGGAGGAAAGCTATGGCAAATCTAGACAGCATACTAAAAAGCAGAGACATCACCCTGCCAACAAAAGTGCGTATAGTCAAGGCCATGGTTTTCCCAGTTGCAATGTATGGCTGTGAAAGTTGGACCATAAGAAAGGCTGAGCGCCAAAGAATTGAGGCCTTTGAACTATGGTGCTGGAGAAGACTCCTG